GCTTTTCTTTCTTTAAGGGGGGGAAGAAGGGAGGGACTCAAAGATTCTGTCACACAGACCAAAAAAACGTGAGACTTGGAGTAGGGGCAGAAGCAGGGAAGGCAACCGTAGTAAGTTCATAAGGTGGGGTTGTTTGGGGCCAGGCCCTAAACATCATTTTACTAGTATAACTATCAGAGTAAGACAAGTCAAGGGAGTAAAAGAAAGAGCCAGTAGGGCCAGAGGTAGGACAAGAGATTGAATTTTGGTGTTCAGGGTAAACTGGGGTGGGGGAGAATCTAGGGACTATAGATGCTTACCAGAAGTGGGGGGATGAAGCCACAGTGTCTCCATTCCTCTTCCCCTCCAGCTCCAGCTCTGGCCTTTTTTTCTCATCCCCCTCCCATAGGACAGAAGCTGTGGCCTTGCCATGTCATTGTGTTCCTCTGTCCCCTGCATGTTCCCCACCCTCACTCCCTCCTTTTTTGTGGGCCCCATTACAATATTTTAATTCAAAAAAAGTAGAAATGAAAAGAAGTGACCAAGACTGGCAGGGTGGGGGAATCAGATGATAAAGAGTTGGGGTCATAATTCTGTCTTGGAGGAGTGGACACAATGTGGCGACATGGAAGGTGGAGCCCATGCACGTGATTTCACATGAAGTATCTGAAAATTGAGGGGTGAGGGAAGAAGTAAGGAGGCAGGGATGTGAACCAAAAACAGGGGAAGAGGCAGGAAGAGACAGAGATAAGAGAAGCAAGAAAGAGAGATGGAAGGGAGAGCAAGAAAGGCCTGTGCAGCCTCTCCATAGGCAAAGATCCCTGTGAACCCTGGAGAGTAGCCACATTTGGTGTTGTAAAAAGGACTTTAAAAGGCAGTGAAGGCCTGGCACCAGATGTGTGTTGTGATTTACCATAATCCCTGAAACACTGCTGCTACATGATCACACAAACGTTCCTGAGAGCAGGCTCAGACCTGGCCATTGCTGGGTGAGACCCTCCACCAGAGGGTCTGACTGGGTCAAAGCTGCAGGGCCCTCAGAAGTAAGGGGTATGGAAACACAGCCCCATCTGAGATAAAACTCAGGAGGGAGCTGCCTCCTGGAAGCTGATGACTTGATTGTGAACAGGGTAGAAGCAGGGAATGGATGGAGGCCAGAGACAAAGGAGGGGTGCTTGATTGCCAGTCAATGGGAGCACAGAGTTCTGATACCAGAGACTGGGTAGCTGGGTAAAGCCATTTTCACTTCTCCCATGCATGCACATACACACACACACACCACAACAATCCACCGCAGTAAGCTAAGAAGCACCGTCTAGTGGAGGAAAGAGCTGTTACACCACTCCCTGTCCAACTGCGCCTACCACCCTCTAGAGTAACACCACAACTCTCTCTGCCTGCTTAGTTTAGGGATTATAAAGTGCTTCATAGATTGACTTCTAGGGTTTCAATTTCAATCGTATTCCATTCTATTCATTGGTCCATCTATTCAATTTCTTTCTTTTATTATTCTTGAATACAGAAAGAAAAAATTTATTTTTATTTTCCATTTTTATAAAAAGATTTCTCTTTACTTTTTTCTACTATATTTTTTTATTTTTTTAATTTGTTAAATGTTTTTTTATTATTTTTGAGAGAGACAGAGTACGAGTGGGAAGGGGCAGAGAGAGAAACAGACACAGAATCTGAAGCAGGACCCAGGCTATGAGCTGTCATCACAGAGCCCAACATGGGGCTTGAATTCATGAACCACGAGATCATAACCTGAGTCAAAGTCAAACACTTAACCAACTGAGCCACTCAGGTGCCCCTATTTTTTACTTTTTTACAAAATTTTTAAATTGTTTTTACTTTCATCATTTCATTTTATTCTATTTTATTGTATTTCTTTTTTTATTTTCAAATGTTTCCTTTTTTCTTTTTCCTTTCTTTTTCATTTTCTTTCCTTTTCTCTATTCTATCAAGCTTCTTTCAACAGCCAGACCAAAACACAGCTATGATATAGTATTCTATATTTGATTTTTTGTGTTGTTTTTAATTTATTTTTTAATTTATTAATTCTTTTTATTCCTCCAAAATGACAAAATGAAGAAATTCAACCCCAAAGAAAGAACAGGAAGAAATGACAGCCAGGGACTTAATCAGCACAAATACAAGCAAGATATCTGAATCAGAATGTAGAATCACAATAATAATACTAGCTGAGGTTGAAAAAAGCATAGAATCCTTTTCTGTGGAGACAAAAGAAGTAAAATCTAGTCAGGACAAAATTACAAATGTTGTAACTGAGTTGCAATCGTGTATTGATGCCATGGTGACAAGGATGGATGAGGCAGAGCAGCAAATCTGTGATGGAGAGGACAAACTTATGGAGACTAGTGAAGCATAAAAGGAGAGGGAAAATAAGGCAAAACAGCACGATATAAGAATTAGAGAATTCAATGACTCTTTAAAAAGGAATAACATCTGAATCATAGGGTTCCTGGAAGATGAAGAGAGAAAAAGGGGTAGAAGGTTTATGTGAGCAAATCATAGTGGAAAACTTTCCTAACCTGGGGAAAGACATAGACATCAAAATCCAGGAAGCACGGGAAATTCCCATTAAGTCAAACAAAAACCAACCATCAACAAGGCACATCATAGTCAAATTCACAAAATAAACAGACAAGGAAAGAATCATGAAAGCGGCAAGAGAAAAAAAAAGTCCTTAATCTATAAGGGAAGACAGATCAGGTTTGCAGCAGACATATCCACAGAAACTTGGCAGGCCAGAAAGGAGTAGCAGGATATATTCAATGTGCTGAATTACAAAAATATGCAGCCAAGAATTCTTTGTCCAGCAAGGCTGTCATTCAAAATAGAAGGGGAGATAAAAAGTTTCCCAGACAAACAAAAACAAGGAGTTCATGAACACTAAACTGGCACTGCAACAAATTTTAACGGGGACTCTCTGAGAGGAGAAAAGATTAGACAAAACAAAACAAACAAACAAAAAAAGCAACAAAGACTAGAAAGGACCAGAGAACACCACCAGAAACTCCAACTCTATAGGGAACACAATGACACTAAATTAATATCTTTCAGTACTCACTCTAAATGTCAATGGACTAAACGCTCCAATCAAAATACATAGGGTAAAAGAATGGATAAGAAAACAAGATCCATCTATATTCTGTTTACAAGAGACCAATTTTAGACCTAAAGACACCTTCAGATTGAAAGTAAGGGGATGGAAAACAATATCATGCTAATGGTCATCAAAAGAAAGCCATAGTAGTCATACTTATATCAGACAATATAATTTTAAAATAAACACTGTAACAAAACAACAAAACAAAACAAAACAAAACAAAACAAAACAAAACAAAACGACCTTAACAGAGATGAAGAAGGGCATTATATCATTATGGGGTCTATCCACCAAGAAGACCTAACAATTGTAAACATTTAAGCCCACAAATACATAAGTCAATTAATCATAAACATTCAGAAACTCATTGATAATAAGAAAATGCCGGGGCGCCTGGGTGGCGCAGTCAGTTAAGTGTCCGACTTCAGCCAGGTCACGATCTCGCGGTCCCCGAGTTCGAGCCCCGCGTCGGGCTCTGGGCTGATGGCTCAGAGCCTGGAGCCTGTTTCCGATTCTGTGTCTCCCTCTCTCTCTGCCCCTCCCCCGTTCATGCTCTGTCTCTCTCTGTCCCAAAAATAAATAAACGTTGAAAAAAAAAATTAAAAAAAAAGAAAATGCCTAGAATATTTAGTTTTATAAATCTCTTCAACTATACACATTTATTTTGCATATATTTTTATTTTATGCTCAATAACAGGCAACAGAAGCAGGTATTAATACTTCTATTTTACAGATAATGAAACTAAGGCACAGAGAGGTTAAGTAACTTGCCTCAAGTCACAGAGCTGGTAAGGAACAGAGCAAAGAATCAAATGACTGCAGTGTGATGCCCGCTCCTGCAGGTGAGTCCTGCAACTTCTGCCCTGGGAAGCAGCTAGTCTTGGAGCCTTGTGTGTGAGGGAAAAATTACTCCCCAGAGGGCAAAAGACCTGCCTCCTGTGGCCCTTCTCAGTATGTTCTGCCTGGAAGAGCTTGGCCAAGTTGGGGCCTCATCTGGAAAGTGGGGAAGTCATACCTTACCTTCTGAAGATGAAAGGCTAAACCAGATCATTTACTGAAGGTCTTTGAGTTTTAAAACACAGAATTCAGTCCATGAAAAGGGTAGGTGAAGGGTGTAGCCAGGATAAAGTTCTCAAAGCCTTCAGTCTCCCCATCCCCATCCCTGTCTCCCTCTCCCTCTTTCTGTCTCCTGACCTTCAGGGTCCTCTTCCCCACCTGCTTAAGTCCTGGAAGCTGTCTCCCCCAACCATGGCTCACTATCCTATGCAGTCCAGGCTCAGTCAGCCTCACAGCCTATGAGGACACATCAAGGCCAGAGACATCAGACTAGCTTCCCAGCATCTTGCCCACCAGCCAAGAGTCACTGGGGAGCTACAACCATGGAATATTTTACATTTCTGCTACACATCTCTACCACCTGTGACACCCATCACATCCCACCACTGGGGAGGGTGGGCTCTCCTGGCTCTCCAAGCTTTATGTCTCTCCAGCAGATCCTGTTTCCTCCATCCCTCTAACACACTTTTCCCAAAACACACACACACACACACACACACACACACACACACACACACACTTCCTTCTCATCCAAGTTCCACTTTCCCTACCCCCAAGATCATGCATTTACTGAGAGCTCTGACTTATCTCATCCTCTCCTTTCCATTTCTCTGCTCCTTGTTAACCAAATGAGTATCATTCTCCTTGTCTCCTAGGAAACCTTCTAGACTTGTGTGTCTTCCTCCATCATCCTATCTTTGGTCACTGCCAGTCTCCCATCATCCGAGTCATGGGGTCTCGTCCAGTTGTCCTTGACCAACTCAGCTCAAAACATTTGCTGAGGGAGCACCCAGAGTGCTATGCCTCTCTGTCTTGGCTCTCAGCCTCATCTTACCAGCTGCCAGGAGCTCCCACACGGTAGGGCCCTTGATTCTCCCTCTGGGTCTCCCCTCAGTGTCCAGAACACATAGAAGGCAGAGTGTGTGACTCACTGATTCAGCTCCCTAGGATAAAAGAGGGAACAGAGGAAGAAAACCAATCAGGGACATCATCTTAGCCTACACTGTCCTGTGAGGTTTAGTGCCAGGAAAACAAGCAGCTGGAGGGAATCCATCTCTAGTGGGGCAGTGCTTTCCTTTAGAGATCCTAGGGTGTGTGTGTGTGTGTGTGTGTGTGTGTGTGTGTGTGTGTGTGTGTGTATGCACGCACATATATGCACACACACCTGACATGCACAGAGGGGAAAGGAGGATGTGTTTGTGAAACTCCCGCAACCCAGGTCATGTCTGGAGGTGAGAGTATTTAGAAGCTAGACTCCCAGACCCTCTGCAGCCCCAGCAGACACAGGCCCATGACTGCAGGGACAGAGGGCAGCCAGCGCTGCCACCATAGGTGAATGCATGCTGGACCCTGGGCAGGCCCCATCCTCCCTGAGTTTGAATTTGCTCCAACCAGGGTACAATTCACATGGTTTGCTGTGTTCTGTGCTTCAGTCCAGTCCCCATCTTCCCTTTTTGTCCACACTCATGGGCATTTCCTGTGTTCAGAGCTTAGAGCACTTGTTAGGCTGAACCATAAGAACTTCCTGGTAATCAGTTGGTTGTGGTTTCTACAGTCCACTGCTTTTGCTTTTCTCCTTCTAAACATTTTTTTACACAGGCTAAGGAGACAGGGGAGCAGACTGAAGACGGGCAAATAATAAGAGCTAATATATATTGAGTGCTTACTATGTACCCAGCATTTTGCATCCTTAGTACAGTGTTATTTTTTACTACAGTCCCAGGAATTATTTCCTGAAGACCCTGCAATTATTTCCCACCTTTTATAGGTGAGTGGGTCCAGATGGAGAGGCTACATGGGGAGGAACAGGGCTGGGATTCTAGCTCAGCTCAAGACCTCCTGCTTTGCCACAGCCCCCCACAACCAGGGGAGTCCTGGCAGAGACTGGGAGCCAGAAGGCAATGCCTGAAGCTTCACATCAGGATGGGGAGGAGGACACAGGCAAAACTGGAACTCTGGAGGGGCCAGAAGAGCCCCCATGGATGCAACATGGGCAAAGGCCAGGGACCACACCTGAAACCCAATGGGAGAAGGGCCAGTCAGAGAAAGAACCAGGTCAGAAACACCACTAGGGAAGATATGGGAAGGGGAGTTGGAGGCAGCCAGGGGCAGAGCACAGGACTGAGGAAGAAGCACCTGCAGGGTGCAGCCAAGGCAGGTGTAGACAGAAGTGCGGTGACTTGGAGTAACCATGCTACAGATCCAGGACAGCAAGGCGAGGAAAATAGCAGTGGCACAGGGAAGGAAAGATAAAGTCCAGGTGAAAGGATAAAAAGCAGGAGGGAGGGAGAGGACCTGTGGAAGAGATATGGGACTGAGGTAAGTGGAGGAACTCAGGTTAGAGGCTAATTGTGCAGAGGGGGAGTCAGAGTCATCAGTGAGGAGGGAAAGAAATTGGAGTGAGATGGCAGAATAGCAGGAGTGAAGGAAGGAGTGCGTGAGTGCACACACACACCTCAAAACAATTGTCTGGTCATTGGTTCCAAGATCCAAGGCAGCACCCCAGCCACATCACCCCAAACCCTGGCAAGTGTTTGGATGGGATTGATCAAAGGGCCTTAGGGCTCAGACAGTGGGAAGAGAGAGGGAGGTCATGAGCCAGTGTGTGTGTGTCCTTCTGTGCCTGGCAGGCCTATGGGTACCTGAGAGTGTGTGTGCATGTGAGTGCACCTGCTCCAAGAAGCAGCCTGTTGCCTGCAGGACTCTATGTCTGTTCTCCTCTGCCTCTTAATGAGTTTGTCCCCAGAAGCAGGAGTCTGTGATTCATTTATACTGTTTCTAGTCTCTCCAGGCAAAGCACTTTGCCCGTTTGCTGTTTGCCTCCTTGCCATGACCTCAGCAGGGACAGATGGAGCCAGGGAGGGAGAGAGAAGGTGATGCTTGGGCAGTTAGTACTTCCCCCACTCCTACTGCAGACAGGAGCCCCCACACTCACACACACACATAAACACAGATACATACACAGCATACACCTTTGCACACAGCTACCCACCACAGCATGCAGCCAAAGAAAATACACACACACAAAAATGATACACCAATCACACAGGACCAGAAGACACACAAATGAACAAAGGTACTCAGACATATGAACATGACAATCACCCACACACATGGAGAGATAAGAGCCTGGGGCACAAAGCCACTTGATGCAACATCACCTGGATGTATATCTTGCCCCGCAACACATACGCACACAGAAGACATGCAAACCTGGGTATACACTTCTCCAGACAATTGTGCACATCCACATCACTGCCCAACACATCTCAGGGCACCCTGCAGTGGGCTCCAATATATCTGCTAGCAAATTGAAAACACCCAGCATGGCTGTCAATATCTGCCACTCTTCACTACCTTTCATGCTGGTTCCCAATCCAAGTATTTAGTACAGGCCAGTAAAGTTGTCTCCTGCCTGCCTTATGGTTTGCTTACCCTACTTCAGAAGCAAAAGAGAGATTCTACTCTTCTTTTCCTCCTCCATCCCATGCCCTCTTGGCTTTCTTCTTCTACACCCCACTCATGAATCCCCTCTTCCAGGCAGCCTTTCCTGATGAACTAACTAACTCTGATTCTGAATTTGCCATTGTCCTTTGCACTTGTTGGTCTGTACTGGGTCAGTGTCACCAGGTTACTTTGCATATTAGTTGACAGGGAGGGAACTGTAAGCTCCCCAAGGGCAGGACCACTGGACCAACTATTTCAGGCAAATGCTGGTCTCAGTGGTCCAGTACCAGGCTTGGAATGTTCCTGGGAGTATTATTACCTGGTTTCACAGACAGAAAAGTTATGCCGGGCCCCAGCAGCCACCACGAATGTCTCCCTCTGTCACATGCTGCAAGCATCTCCTTCAAAATGATCTTTCAGAGCCATTTTGGAGGAGGGCACATCCTCCACTGTGTCTTCCCACATTCACCTTGTATTTAACCGGAAATATGGCTTCCCAGCTGGGTCCTCCACTTTTTCTCCAGCCTCGGAGAAAACTTGACAATTCTCAATAATTAGATCCACCCTAAAGAACAAACATGTGCCTCTGGTGAGGATTCTCAGAGCTGTGCTGCAGGCTGTGAAGAGGATCCCCACAGAGGATGCCAGGTGACCAGGCACCTGCAGCAGCAGTTGTAAGTGCTCCAGTGAAGAAGATGGTTGTGTGGAATAGGTTCATTGTACTTAAAACAAGAGAGAGACAAGGTAACCCTAAAAAGCCCTCACTGACCACCTCCCCACCTCCCCACAGAACTGTTTCATCCCAGCTCAGCCCCTCTGAGGAGACAGGTGCCCTCCTTGATTTCCCCCTTTCCCCTCATCTGATTCTCCATAGCCTGTCTCTCCCCCTGCCCCTCTCTCCCTCCTGCCGTGAGAGGCACCCTCCCTCTCGCTGTCTCTCTGCACACCCTCCTCCATCATATTCCTTCTCCTCCTGTCTCCCTCTGTCGTCTGTCCATTTCTCTACTCTCTTCTCCACTCTCACCTTTTCTCCCTCTGATCTCAGTCTCTGCCATTTCTTGTCCATCTCAGTCTTTCTGTAACTCGCATCTTGTTCCTGTTCTCCCCCCTCCACCTCCACTGCTCAGAGCAGTCATACAGAGGGAGGGTGTAGGGTCTCCTTCAGCACTGGAGGACTCTGCCATTTTGTATGGAGCTCTGAATTGTTGTGTTCCTGCCACGCACACACACACGTGCAGCAGCAGCAGCAGCAGCAGCAGCAGAGTCCTTGACTCAGAGTCCGCATCCCACTTTCGGCAACCTCTCACTGCCTCTTTCTCTGCCCCCACCCCCTCCTTTCCTTCTCTGTCTCCCTCTCCCTCCATCTCTGTTTGCACTTCTCTGGCTACCTCCTCAGCCCTGGCCCCATGTCCATGGATCTGTCTTTGGCTTTGGGTCTATGGCTACCCCTTGAGCCTGAGTCCAGCTCCTGTCTCTGAGTCCCTGTATGACCCTACTATCTCTGGCCTCTAGGTGTGTCTGGGTATCTATTTTGGATCTTTGTTTCTGCTCTCTGGATGTTCCTCTCTTTCCTCTCTCCTGTCTCTGAGTCTGACTGCCTGTCTCTGTTTCACTGCCCACTGTCTCTGTTGACTCTGTGTCTTGGTCTCTTGGACACTCAGGGTGCTAGAACCTGATCTGCCTTACAAGTCCCAACTGTTGGACTTGGCTTGAATTACTGAGCCCTACTGTCCCCATCCCTGTGTCCATATCTCCCCTTTTGTGCACCCTCCCCCTGTTGCCCTGGAATTCCAGAGGTGGGCTGGCTCAGAGAGCACAGAGATGAGGGCAGCCCTTTGTGTGGAAGGTGGTCTGTGCCAGGTTAGGATGCACTTCCAGCCCTGACTGCAGCACTCTGATTCTCACAGAACATTCCCCAGGATCCAGATACAGGTCACTTCCCTTCCTGCTATGCTGGCCCAACAGACCTTGAGGCTGGGCCCTTCCCCTCCCTAATCCTTCTACTGGGAGCCACTGGAAATTCTGGAAGGGGACTCCAGGTTCCCTTTGGCCAGGTATCTACATGACTGGAGTATTCTGTGAGAAGAAGAGTGAGGAGAGACAGGAGGCCCACTGCAGATGTTTTGCCAGAGGGGGACAGGGTGTCCAGAACAGAAAGTCTGAGACCCTTGCTCCTGCATCCTGGACCAGAACTGCTTAGTGACTCTTTGCAACACTCAGACAGGCCCACATGGGTGAATCAATCCAGAGAGGAGATGGGGCTGGGCTTCAAATATGGGAATGGGGAACAAAAAATATGTGTGTCCTTCCTTCTTTTATTCCCTCATGGCACCTGTAACCCTTCTTGTACATAAGAAGCTCTCAATAAAGTCCTTGGCTCATATTTCACAACCAAAACAGTGCCATAATCAGTGGAATGCAACCGCTATAAATAATCCTTCCCACCCCCACCCTCACTCACCCAGGACAGTTTGCGCTACCAAGACTTCCAAGCACCCCAGTGATCATTGGACCCCAGTTTGAATCCCAGTCACTCCTACCCCTCCTCCTCCATCACTTACCTCATGTCCCTCCTTCCTCCTAACCTCCCCCTTCCCCAACCAAT